TTGCAAAAACATTTGTCTTCTTTTCAAAAACCACCATCCACAACACTTTCAAACAAACTCTCAAAAACATTTGAAACGTCTTTTCGAAAAGATCCACACTTTTGTAAAACACTCAATCACGAGTCAAATACATTAGTTGCCTAAGACAAGGCATCTTTTTCCAAAACATTTTCAAAAACACTCACACACACACCATTTTCAAGCAATCGAAAAAACAAGGCAAGTGATCTAAAAAACCAAGTAACTAAGAGCCCATGGATAACCATGGATGAAAAGGGTGCTAATACCTTCCCTTTTCATAATCTACCCCCCGAACCCACGAAAAATCTCAAAAGGTTTTTGCTGTGCTTTTTTAACCTTTCCTTTAGGATAAAATAAAAAGTCGGTGGCGACTCTTGCTCAACCGCACAAGTACGAAAACGAACGCAAAACACTAGTCAGTTCTCCCACCGTATCACACGTTCCATTATAGTATCACGACAAAGCTTACATGATTGACTAAGACTCCTTTGATATCTCATTCTTCACATTTGATAGTGATGACCATGGGATCATCGATGTGAGGATGAACGCCGAACACACCTTCCTTTGAAAAGAAGATCACAACTTCTGGCGCCTCCATACTTGAAATCTCGGGATGTTAATGACATATCTCTTGCGGGAGGAGCTGGTCCCGCCGCCCCCGACAAATCCTCCGACTATGGTGTTGAGGGTATGTCGTACCGCTTGCTCGTCGTCGCCCTAAGGTGCTTCTTTGGATTTGTCCAAGGGCTTTTGGTATCTTCTTGTTCATGCAAGTTGTGTCGTTACGCTTGGTTGGAAGGACCACCCTTCACGTACTTCTTGAGGTGTCCCTCTTATATCAACTTTTCTATTTCCTTCTTTAACTGGTATCAGTCATCAGTGTGATGTCTTTTAACCCTATGGAATTTACACCACCTTTCTGGTTCAGATACCATTACCCCGACCATGGGGGCAGGTGTCATATGAATGTTATGTAGGTGGTGCATTTTGGACCATATATGTTTTCGACGGGTATTCAAAGGCGTGAAACTCTTTGTCACTTTTCCTGCCCTTTTGAACAAGGATTTGTCCTTCACGGGTGAGGTGTAGTTATTATTCCTTGAGAGATGAGAGCTCTCAACACTGGTGACACGCTCATTGGCATCACGAGCCTTCTTTTCAATTTTGTTTTCCTTGCCTTTGATGTAGCATTCCGCCCTGGCAACTACTTCGGCGAGCGTGATCACTGACTTTTGGGCGAGATATTCATTGAAGTGTCATGCCTTGAGTCCATTTGGAACGCTCCTACAAAAATTTCTTGGATGGGAGGGACTACCTTGATGATGGCTTCATATTTAAGTGGGCGAGAGAGTCCCTCAACGATTCCGACGGACCTTAGCGGATGTTAAACAGGCTGGTGGTGGACATCTTCCTATTGCAACTGGCCGCAAACTGGTGTACTACCTTCCTTAATAATTCCTGGTAGCTGTTAATAGAGGCACGATGGAGGCCCATGTACCATCAGAGGGCAGCCTCTATGATGGTCATCTGCGTGTTGATGGATGCTATGTGCTCGTAGGGGTCGCAGGGTCCATCAAACTTGGTCAAGGATGGAGGTTTGAAATCCTCAAGAATATGGCCCCCTATATTTCACCCGAGAGGGGTTAATGATTCAACAATTCCATCTCTTCTGGGGGATTGACCTCATGTTAGGGTTGTTTGATGTTTTGGACATCGTCTTTTAACATTTGGTTGTGGCATCGTAACTCGTCCCTGATGACTCGTATCTCTGCCATGACCTCGACATCTCCTGTACCGTTGGTACCCTCATGAGTAATGGATGAAGCACTTATGTTCACCATGTCTGGTAATGGTTCAAAGTTAGAGTTAAGAGTACGACAAGGAAGGTGATGATTATTAGAATGATGTGTGACCCATGTTAATTTTACCGGGTCCTACGGTGGGCTCCACTATACTGTCTAAAAAAGTACATGTGTGTGCATGTTCCCCCTACAAGGGCAGAGATACTTAGAGATCCTAGAAGGTATAATACACGTTTGAGGGTGAGGGCTATCTCACGACGGCGAGTAGCTCTGTATGGTGATTTTTAAGGATGTTTGAGGGACCAGCTCATGTGAGGTGAGAGGCCCTACTAGTGGCTGAAGTTGATAGGTTGCAGGTGTGCGATTAAGGTGATGTTGTTAGGGTTTCTCGGAGCAGAGTGTTCTCCGAGTAGTGTTGGATAATAATAAGTGTGTATCACTTTAGAGATTCCCGCTTATCCCCTTGAAGGATAGTTTCTATATTTGAATTCTCGAGGGCTAGGGTTTATGGCCCCTGAACGTGGTCTTAACTATTCCCATTTATTAAGGAGGTTATTGACAAACTATATTTCTGGAGTCAACAAGGACTTTCTCTTATTTAACTTCTATGTTGAATAAACAACATGGGTGGCTCCATTGGATTTCGTTTGGATGACCTATTTGTTAGGAGATGGACGCCATAATCTAGGACTTTGTCAAATATGACACTTCAAGTCCTATAAAAAAGAATAATCTAACACCTCGCCCGAGGGACTTAGAGTCTCATCAAACAATGTTCATCCTAAAGTCTTGCCTAAAGGACTTAACCAAAGTCTTTCTCGAGAAGCTTAACTTAAATGTATTTCTTGATGGATTTGACTGAAGTCGAGAGACTTAACGCCTCGCCTGAGGGACTTGGAGTCTTATCAGACGGGTAAATGAATAATCTTGCCAGAGGGACTTAGAGTCTCATCAAACAGGCTCATCTAACACCTCGCCCGAGAGACTTGGAGTCTCATTAGACATGCTCAACTTATAATCTCGCCTGAGGCACTTAGAGTCCTATCAAATATGCTTATGTAACACCTCGCTTTAGGGACTTTGATTCTCATCAGACAAGGTCCAGCCTTAAGTCTCGCCTAAAGGACTCGACCAAAGTCTAACCTGAGAGACTTACCTTAAAAGTCTTGCATGAGGATTTCAATTGAAGTCGTGCCCGAGAGACTCAACGCTCGCCTGAGGGGCTTGAAGTCTCATCAGGCAAGCTGAACGTATAATCTCTCCAGAGGGATTCAGAGTTCCATCAAACAAGTTCATCTAACACCTCACCTAAGAGACTTGGTGTCTCATCAGACATGTTCAATAAATAATATCGTCTGGGGGACTTAGAGTCACATCAAACAAGCTCATCTAAACGCCTTACGTGACTTAAAGTCTCATCAGATAGACACCCCTGATGCATAGTCAACTAAAGCACTTTACCCTTTTCCAATTTCTTGTGTTTGAGGGACTACATAATGATATATTTGCAAAGGACTCCCAAGGGCGAAGAGACTATGCCGCCAATAGGAGGCGACATCCTCTTACTGCCCACAATGGTGATAACCTCACCCAAGACATTCCCTACTTGCCCAATATAGGAAACATGCGAAATGACACGTCTTGGTCAGAGATATTCCATGGTCAAAAGATTAAAACACATATTCCTTAGAAATATGGATTCAACAACCCATTATCACGACTAGCTGAACGCTTGTCATTTTAGAGAAATCCTAAATGCATGTCTATTGACCTCTATAAATATCTCATCCTTAGAATGAGAAATAACTGTTGAAAATACACAAAAAATACCTCAAAATACAGAATTTATTACCTCACGTGAGCTTGCTCTATCCACACTGAAAATACCACCAAACGTGATTCGTCACAAGTGTAAGCTTGTCCTAAACCATCAATTTTTTTAAAATGTCTAGCCACTTCTACAAAGATAAGAATGTCACACATCTATATTTTGACAAGTACAAATAATTAATGATTAATGATATAATATAAATTAAATTTTCTTATTCTAAATAAAAATTACATATTAGTGGTGGTTGTGTTCTTTTTACTCGGTTATTGATGGTTGCCAAAGTGGCAACATAGTTTCTTTTGATCGGAGGTGCCAACATAATTAAATTAATTTGCTACTTCCACTTCCTTTAATAATTATTATAGGTAAAAAATAAACTTTTATGATAAATAAGAAATTCAATACCATATTATTTTTTTATAAAATACAATTAAAATGTATTTAATAAAAAAACTTATTCACTATCTATATAAAATGAGTAACATCTATTAAAAAAAAAAATTAAATAATTTAAAGAACAATTAATTTCTGTTTATAATAGTGGTGGCCATATAAAGTAGGTGCACTAGTGACTTTTTATAGTTGATTATTTTTCAAGTCAAATTTGATAAAAACAGCGACCAATAAGTGAGCGAGTAACCAAGATCCACCCGCAGCGCGTGAAGTAATCCTCCAATAGATAGCCTTCAACGACTTCCAAACCACAAAACAAGACATCCTCAATAAAGTTGACACGTGTCTTCTCCTCATCCATGGATTCTTGGGCAACCTCAAAGCACTAAAAAATATCTTGAATTTTTTGGATTAAAAAGAAAAATTAATATCTCTTTTCAAATGGACCCCACACCATTGCTATTGTCCCTCACAAAAAAATATCCCCTTGATATTTTCCATTTGAACGCAACTTGAATTCAACAAAAAGTTAACCAAACAAAAAATAATAAAAAAAATAATTCAACAATAATTAAAAAAATAAAAAAATGAAAATAATATCCACCACTAATAGAGCACCAAGTTGGGTTATTTTTCTTTAGATCTAGTTGATGACGTGGAATATGTGGGCCAATGTCTCCACGGATCTAGATATTTTGTGCTAAAAGAATAAATTTTGTGAACCGTAGGATTGGAACCTGCTTAACTTTGGTGTCGCTATCCCTACCGTTGGATCAACTTTATTACCTTAAAAAATCTCGTCAAATATCCTTATAACTCCTTTTTCTTTTTCTCTTGTTCTCATTTTCTTTCTATTATTATTCTTCACTGTCTGAATTCCTGATATTTGTGTTTTGTGCTGAGATTCTGATGCTATTTGGTGATTCTTGTTTGAGGATTTAGGTTGAAAAATGGGTGAAATTGTGACTAGCGGTGAGAGATTGGTGAGAGTAGAAGAAGAGGAAGAGTGTGGTGAAATGAAGGGGCTTTTGAGATGGGAGAGGTTTTTGCCGAAGATGGTTTTGAGAGTGCTTTTGGTTGAAGCTGATGATTGTACTAGACAGATTATAACAGCACTTCTTAGGAAATGCAATTATAAAGGTACTGTTTTCATTTGGTTTCATGTTTTTTTTTTTTGTATTCATTCTCAATTTTTAATTTTATGTGTTTAATTTAATTGCTATGATTTTTCTTCTATTTTAGTTTAGTAATTAGTTATAGATTTTGAGGATTTAATGAAAAAAATTAATAATCAAGGGATGGAAAACAAAAGGTGTGTGCTGAAAGTCTTGAAAATTGATGGTATATAGAGTCTTCTTACAAGTATGGAAACTACTAGGTTAAGCTATAAATTTGGTAGAATTATTTGCTATGAAGAATTTACATTGTTGACTTTCTTGGTTGGATATTGTAATTTGAAAAACTAAATTAGTATTTGAAGTGAATGTAAGATTTTGAATTTTGAAATAAGTTTGATCTGTTTTGAGCAGTTGCTGCTGTTGCCGATGGATTGAAGGCATGGGAGATACTTAAGGGAAGACCGCACAATTTCGATCTTATACTTACAGAAGTCGATTTGCCATCGGTATCTGGATATGCGCTTCTCTCGTTAATTATGGAGCATGATACGTGCAAAACCATCCCTGTCATAAGTATGATATCGAACATAAATCTTCTACTTTCTTGTCAAATTTTCCAGTTTATAAGTAGTTGAATTAATTGTTATTTTCATGCTTTTTCCAGTGATGTCGTCGCAAGATTCTCTTAGCACAGTATACAAATGCATGTGTAGAGGTGCAGCTGATTATCTTGTTAAGCCGATTCGGATAAATGAACTAAGGAATTTGTGGCAGCATGTTTGGAGAAGACAATCAGTAAGAGTTATGATCTTTTATTTTTCAGTTTGCTTTCGCCTTTTCTCGTAAAACACCAATGAAACAAATGGTTGAACTTATTGCTTATTATCTGTTTACTCTATCAGCAGTCAACCGCAACCACTGGCATAAATGGTCCCCAAGATGAAAGTGACGCACAGCAGAAGGTTGAAGCCACTGCTGAAAACAACGCTGCTAGTAATCGTTCTAGTGGTGACGCTGCTTGCATTCAAAGAAATAAGGACTTAATTGAGAAAGGAAGCGATGCACAGGTTAGCTAGCTTTCCTGATCTAGAAATCATTATTTTCAAATATCATCGCCGTTATGTGAGACTTGGCCTGTGGTTACATTTATCCATCTTCGTAAGTTTCTCTTAGTTAAAAGAAATTGGTTTCTGTTGCAGAGCTCTTGTACAAAGCCAAACATGGAAGCTGAGAGTGGCCTGGTTGATAACATGCAAGAATTTACTCAACTGAAATGTGCTGAAGCATGTCCAAGTGAAATAAAGACACAAGAATTTGACATTCGTTTAGGCCAGACATTGATCACCCAGGACAGTCACGCTGGAGGTAAATTTCGGTCTTTCACTGCAATGATATTTTGTTTGACTCACAAGGAAGAACTATCTAAAATTTGAACAAACTTTTATTTTTAGGATTAAGCGTGGCTAACCGCAAAAATGGAGAGACAAACACAAATAATGGCAATGACGTTGATGATCAAGAGCATTTTAGGATTGCTAGCACCAGTGGTGAGGTTCATGACAATCACTATGTTCAAATTAACTCTACTAAGGAAGCTATTGACTTGATTGGAGCATTTCGTACGCATCCGAATTGCAGTCTCAAAAAGTCATCCATTGATTGGACAGACAAGCTTGACAATTCTCCACAATTGGATCTTTCTCTTAGAAGCTCTCATCCAAGTAACTTAGAGAAGGAACTCAATGAAGAACGGAACACCCTTATGCATTCTAATGCTTCAGCTTTCAAACGGTAATTGCCAAAATTTCCTTTTATTCTTAAATTTTCTCCTTTCTGTGGTACTGAAAACTGGTACATGTTGAGTGATGAGTTTGAGGAACTTCAAAAGATGATATAGTACTTTGAAGTGTTTATCACTGAAATGGTGTTCCATGCTTGCAGGTATACTAACAGACAATTGCAAGCATCACCGGCAGTAGTAGTTAACTTCTCTGATCAACAAAGAGAACAAAAAACAAATAATGATAACCATAACTCAGATAGTTCAATACCAAGTATGCAAAAGTGTAATATATCTCCAGCTACAGCCCAATCAAAAGAATCCGAACTCGCAACTTCACATTCCCATCAAGGGCATTCTCTCCCGATTCCTGTAAAAGGCGTAAGGTTCAATGATCTATGTGTGGCCTATGGTTCATCACTTCCACAAGGGTTTTGTACACAATCAGGTCCACCTTCAATGCCAGGTTCAGTTGTGTTTCTCGAACAAAATTTTCAAGCAGATGCATTTTATCAGCCAAATAAAGAAAATAATTCAGAACAAGTTTATGAACCCCGTTGTCCGAATGGAAACAGCACCCCAAACCAAATTGTGTACACACAGGAACACAGGTCAGAACACGCAGAGGATCAAAGACTTATCTCCCCAACAACTGATCAAAGTGTATCCAGTAGTTTCTGTAATAACGGAAATGCAAGCCATCTTAACAGCATTGGTTATGGAAGTAATTGTGGAAGTAGCAACAATGTTGAAAATGTCACCACTTTCAGGATATCAGCAGTTTCCGATGGTAAGAACGAAGACCTCACAAATGGTGGATATTCACATTCACATCGATCTATCCTAAGAGAAGCAGCTCTAAACAAGTTCCGCTTGAAACGAAAAGAGAGATGTTATGAAAAGAAGGTATATCAATATTAATATCAATATAAGCTTATATTTGTACCAGCATGATAAATGATCATCATTGTTTTCGAATTATACTAACTTATAATACTTTTTAATAGGTTCGATATGAGAGCAGGAAGAAACTAGCAGAGCAGCGTCCTCGAGTTAAAGGACAATTTGTTCGGCAAGTGAATCCCGATTCTCTTTCTGGAGAAAAAGATTGCTGAGAATACTGATAATTATTACATTAGCAGATATGTGACTCAGGGGAGAGGATAGTGTGCTTTGTTAGTATTAGTAGGTTCAAATTTTTGATTTTTTGACAACTTAAATAGCAGAACCACTTGATCTGTATATGTTTTCTAAAACCATTTTTTTTTTCTTTTGCCTTTCCTCTAGATCTTGTTATATATATTTATCTAGTAATAACCTGATATACATATGTAATTTTATACAGTTTTTTAATGACTTTCGTGTCTCATGTTTAATTTTTTTAAGAATTTGTTTACTTCCTAGGACTCACGGATTAATTATTCATGTAATGTTGGAGCTTCATGTACAATATCATATTAGTATGATATTTTTTTTTGTGCGTGTGACATAGCAATCGGTTAACTGTATTTTATTTTATCTTCTAAAAAAGTGTAGCTGTAAAAAGCTATTCTTGGTCTATCAGAACGTGGTTTCCAGGTTTTTCAATCACACATTTACTTAAGGAGGGACAGTGATTCCTTGCGGTCAGGGAGTTCCTGCAGTCACACAGTCAAGTTTTATGGCCGTTGATCAAGATCAGACGGTTCTTATTTAAGATGGATATTTTTTAATTATTATATAAAAAATAATGTTATTTTTCTGGATCATATGATTAAGATCCAATGGTTATAAACAAGGTGACTGTGGGAATGTGTCAAAAAGTTGACTACAGTGGATCTGTTTTCCTTAAAGAGTACATTTTAAAAAAAAGTATATAATGTGTTTCCTTAGAGCACCTACTCCCATTATTTTTATTTGGATTCTTTCTACTTAATTTTTATATTACTTTATACTGTTAAAACTTTTAAACAATTCAGTTAAATATTCTTATAACTCATCAAATTTTTTTAAATAAATCCTACCAAATTTCACAATATACTCCACATTTAACAGTACAAAGAATTAGAGAACGTTCTTTACCGTGAGAACGTGTGCAAATTGAGTAACGATTACATTGTTTAATTATCTATTCATTCTGGTTATTGTTCAATTATCCATCCATTCCTGACACAATGACTTCGGTAATAGTTAAAAGTCGAGTCGAATTTGTCTCAATTCGATTTGTTAATAATTAGTTTAACTCTGATGAGAATATAATTCTCTTGTGTCGAAGCAGTATGTTGCTCGACAAAAGGGTGTGTCAAATTAATTTGTAAGTGTGTCGAAATGTCGAAGCAAGTTGTTTGACAGGATTTCGACTTAGATCTAAAATAAGTATTTTTGAGTTTTCTATTTTGAGCTTTGGCTTAGGAAGCAAACAAACTCATTATAAATAGAGGGAGTAACTCATATTTTAAAATAACTTGTATTCACCGAATTTGCAGTTGTAAGTGAATAAGATTTTTCACAATTTGTGGGTAGAGCGTTACTATGCAGAAAATAATCTTCTTTCTTTCTCTATCTTTCATTCTTTTTATCGTCATTGTGTAGTGATAACAATCTTGATCATCAAGATTGATTGAGATTCATCATAGATTTTAGTGGATTTCCAACATCTGGTATCAGAAATTCGGTTGAGCGATTCAAGGCAAGAAAATCACGATGGCCATGAATCATTCGAATGGGCATTTTTCAATAAGTCTTCCAATTCTAAAAGTTGATAACTATGAGAATTAGTGCAAGTAGATAAAAGTTGTGTTTTGTTGTCAAGATCTTTGGGATCTTGTGAAAGAAGGGTTAGAATGACTTAAAGAAAACGCAACAGAAGAAAAAGAGACTGCACACAAATAATTGGAGAAGAAGAATTATGAAGCTCTCTTTATAATTCATCAATGTCTGAGTATATATAATTTCGAAAAGGTGAGTGATGTAGAATCTGTAAAAAAAGCTTGAGAAATTCTGAAAAAGTTTTTTAGAGGTGCATAAAAGGTGAAAGAGGTGAGGTCACAAACTCACAAAAGAACGTAAGAATTGCTTCAGATGGAAGAAAGTGAGAGCATAACTGATTTCTCCACCAGGGTTATGAAACTAGTGAATCAAATCAATGTATGTGGAGAAGTGTTGACAACAAGATCATTTGTTGGAAAGATCTTGAGGTCATTGGCTCGGAAGTCCGACCACGTGGTGGTAGTCATAGAAGAGTCGAAAGATTTTTCGAAATCGATAAAAGAAGAGCTTCAAGGGAAACTTGAATCTCATAAACAAAGAATGGCTGAAAGAGATGCATGCAAGTCGAAGAGTGATGTGGCTTTGTTGGTGCATTCAACAAAAGACAAGAAAGGAAAAGGAAAGTGGCTCAACAATAAAGGTAGAGGAGGCTACAATAATTTGACTGGTAGAGGAGATCAATAAGAAGGAATTATGTCGAATCCGAGAAGACCCACATACCAAGGCAACCAAAGAGGCGGTGCTAGAGGTAGAGGAAGAGGTGGTGGTTGAAAACCTGACAAAAGTCACATTTAGTGTTTCAGTTGTCAGAAGTATGGTCGCTACTCTAGTGATTATCTAAAAAATGAAAGCATCAAGAAAGTGATGCAAAGTTTGCAAAACATGAAGAAGAAGAGATGATGTTGATGGTCACAACATGAGATGAAGAGAGATTTAAGGACCAATGGTACTTGGATTCAGGATGCTCATCACACATGTTTGGGAGGCAAGATTGGTTTGTCAACATAAAACCCTCAGTAAAGAACATGGTGAAATTCGTAAATGACAATACTCTAGCAGTTGAAGGTATTGGAGATGTTCTGATTATGAGGAAAGATGACAAGAGGTCAGTAATTTCCATTGTGTTGTACATACCAGACATGAAGAACAATTTGCTCAGTATATGACACTTGGTCGAAAAAAATTATAAATGTTGATCAAAGATAATATGATGAAATTTATCGATGCAAGAGAAAGATTAATCTTGAAGGATCTTATGTCTTAGAATAGAACCTTCAAGATTGAACTTAATGTGATGGAGCACAAGCGCCTTCGACTTTAGCTAGCAGAGATGAGTGAATATGGCACTATCGACTGGGCCATCTAAACTTCAAAGACATCAGAGATTTGAAAAGAAGAAATATGATTTCAGGGTTGTCAGAAATCGACATTCCAAATGAGGTGTGTGAGGAATATGTGCAGGCGAAGCAACACAAGAATAATTTTAACAAGGATGCAGGAAGAAATTAGAAGGCTATTCTTGAAATCATATACTCTGATGTATGTGGTCCAATCCAAGAGGATTCAATTGGAGGTAACAAATATTTTTTTACATTCATAGATGATTTCAGTAGAAAACTAAGGACTTACCTGATCAATAAGAAAAGTGAAGTGATTGAGGTATTTGTCAAGTTTAAATCTATGGTCAAAAGATAAAGTGGTCAAAAACTCAAGATTTTGAGGATTGATGGTGGTGGATAATAAGTGTCGAATGACTTTGACATGTTCTGTGAGAAAGAAGAGATTATGCATGAGGTGGTGCCACCCTACACCCACAACAGAATGGAATTTTTGAAAGGAAGAATAGAACCATCATGAATATGGTGAGAATTATGTTAAAAGGCAAACATTTACCCAAAGAGTTTTAGGGTGAATCTTGAAGCAACCTGAAAAAATAAATCTGTCAAACAAACAATAAAGTCACCATCGAATATTTATTTATCCGGCCGAAGGGAAATGAAAATATCGAAGAAAACCTGAAGAGGGTTAAATCAAGGTCTTGCTACCAAGAGAACGGGTAATGAAGTAGATTACGCAAGGGAAAGGTATTAGCACCCCTCACGTCCGTGGTACTCCACGGGATCCACTCTTGTTATCTAATCTAAAGGGTGTGTTTAAATCTAAAGTTAGGATGTAAAGGGAATGCATGGATGCAAAGTATTATACACAAAAAAGGTTTTATTATTCGTGCATGCCTCAGTTATGAACCTTTGTGCCTACGTACCACTGTCCGTGCAATGGGGGATCAAGGCACTCATAGTTCACCTTAAAAGTTTTGGTTTATTGCATGTCTTTTATGGATAATGCCATGTTCGCATTCTTATGATTGGGATTGCAATCGTGCTTGGCGTTGCATCTCGTAAAGAGACTCATGCTCGACCCTTCGCACACTTAGCATTTCCAAGTTGTTTGAATTTGAAACAACACATCCTTATTGAAAAGGTTTTAAAGGAAAAAGTCCGAAGACAAAAAGGTTTGCATTTGTTGGTGATTTTTACCTTGAAAAGGGTTTTATAATGTTAGAGTGTTTTCAAGTTTGAACAAAGAAAAAGAGATTTTTAGTTTTAAGAATACAAAAGGGGAATGAAAAAGTCTAAGGGAGACTAACAATCCTAGTGTTGTCATACAATGGTGATCCTAAGGTCTGGATAACAAAGGGAAACATCTACCTATATTAGCATGCATGGATTATAATCCTAATGTCTAACTTGAATCGAGAACGAAACAAGTGATCCTAAGGGAACATGCAAAAGCCCAAAGGGTAAAGCACAAACACAAGCGCAATCGAACAAAGTCGAAACAAAAACCAAAACAAAGATCAAGTGTGACCTAGCAACAAACAATGAATACAATGGATTTCAAAGTGGGAGTAAGGAACTCTTTCCACTTGATTTTCTCAAGCACCTATATCGAGTAACAATTCGAAGCATCGACGTTTAAACGTGAGTTAACATTGTCGAAACGAATGACAAAATGTGGGGGTTGGTTACGAACCCTTTTCCACTTTATTTGACTCAATGGACAAGAATAAGCACGGTTCAAAGCATCAACGTATAATGTGAGATAAGAATGACACATACTAGAAAGTATGGGATCCGATTACAAGCCCTTTGCTCCACTTATTGACTCGATAGAAAGCACAAAGTAAAATGGGAGGAGAATTACCTTCTTTGAGGACTTTAGCAAAATTGCCTTTTTTGAGGTCTTTAAACAAACACAAACATTGCCTCTTTTGAGGACTTTAAACAAGCACAAACATTGCCTCCTTTGAGGACTTTAAACAGAATTACCCACCTAAAATAGGGACTCCTAGTCATGCATCTCTATT